CAGAAAAGCTGTGGCTGCCTCTGGATCCCTGGAAGTGTCCAAGGCCAGGTTGGACAGGGCTTGGAGCAACCTGGGACAGTGGAAGGTGTCCCTGCCCATGGCAGGAGGGTGGAATTGGATGATCTCCAAGGTCCCCTCCAACCCAAACCATTCTGGGATCTAAATTCCACGATGAACCACCCGCCTCTTCCAGGAAAAAATCCCAAAGCTCTTTAGAAGTTCCTTTAATACCAAACTCAGGACACAGCAAAATAATTTGATCCTTGAGGTGCCCCCCCAGCCCAAACCATTCCAAGATTCCAAGTTCACCTCAAGCAAGACACGGCCGGAACCACCCGACCCGGCAAGCACTGAATTATTTAAGGAACAAACAACACAAATAAAGAAAAGCCCCTGGAGAATCTCCCTCCTGCTTTCCCCATCTCCTGCTTCCAGCCAGCTGTGACCGTGCCGAAGCAATCCCGGAGCAGTCCTGCCTGGAAGGGGACATTCCAGAGGTGGAAAAGACACGGAGGAGCCTCTTTGTAATATTCCATGATCCCCCCTCGGGCGAGGCGCAGAGCCGGCGCTGCTGAACGCTGCACTTTTGGATTCAATTAAAGTGATTATCTGTTGTGCCAAATAAATTGTGTCCAGCATCTATCCTGCAGGATTTTACACCTCCAGCCTCATTATTCCCTAACTGTTTCCTCCTGTTTATGCTCTCTCCAATTAAATTGCTGATAATATGAGCCAAAATAAAAAACGAGCGCACCTTGTCCGGAGAAAATTGATTCCCTTTTTTTCCTGCACCGGGCGATTGCCAGGTTTTATATACTCTGTTCCTGGCGATCATTAGTAATTCAATTTTCTTTTTATTAGCCCCCTTATCTGCTGAGCAATATAGTGGCAGAGCTGACCTCTTTCGCACGGGTAAATGTTTAAAATCTTTTCTCTGATTAATTTTGCCAGTTAAGGAAAAGAGGAGAAATGATCCGGCTCTTTGCCATCACAATGAATAAAGCTTAATGTTGATTGTGATGGAATTTCTAATGCCAAGGAAATTGATTGAACGCAGCAATTACCCCGCAATAGGAACTCCAGGGAAATGGGATGGTTTTCTCCCCGGCCGTAGCCTTTTGGTTATTTAAAACAATCCAATTTGCAAGGATAATTATATATTAGTGTTTTATCTGCCACCGGGAATGAACATGGGAATTTTGATACTGGCCCGGCATTAGCAGGTTATTGCTGCAAATTACTCCAGATCTGCTTTCTTTCACATAAAGACGAAATTAGGCCATCAATAACCAGAAAAAGGTGGACTGAGGAGATGGGAGAGGCACGAGTGCCCTCTGCAGGGCTGTGTGCACTTCCCAAAATCCTGAATTCTCCTGGAAAAGCCCCTGATTCTCCTGCAAAAATCCCAATTTTCCCACATGTACCACGCAGCCGTCACTCCCATTCTCCTTGTCCGTACATCGGCCACAGCTCTGATGTTAAAATGAACTAAAGAAAAGTCAAGAAATCTTCTTTTGAAGCATTTATTCCTAGTTTTTTTCCAAGGAAAAAATCCAGGAAATAAGAAATGATAGTTTGGATGGTCAACCACAAGGAATGGTGAAGAAAAGTTCACAACTACCAGAACTCACTTGTCTGTCGTCAAAAAATAGGTAGGAATAAGCCTCATCCTGCAAGAAATCCCAGATAAATACAGGAAAAAGCTGTTGGGAAAGCGTGGGACACCCATATCCTCTGGCATGGGACTTTTAGGATGGGAAAAGCAGGAATATCCCGCTGTTATCACACCTGGATCACTCAAACCTCACTTAGAAGTTGGCGTTTTCCCTCAAAACTGGTGAGAAAAAGATGCCATCCCAGAACTTTTGGGAATATTCCATCTTCAGTTTGGAGACAGCGGATGAAGGATTCTCAAGGTGATGGGACAGGATGTGGATTAAAAGCTCATTTGGCATTTCAACTGGCTGGGAGAGCTGGGAATGTCCAGCCTGGAGAAGGGAAGACTCCAGGGAGAGCTCAGAGCCCTTTCCAGTGCCTGAAGGGATCCAGGAGAGCTGGAGAGGGACTTGGGACAAGGGATGCAGTCACAGGGAATGGCACGCCACTGCCAGAGGGCAGGGATAAATGGGATTTGGGAAGGAATTCCTCCCTGTGAGACTGGGAAGGTGCTGGGATGAAATTCCCAGAGAAGCTGTGGCTGCCCCGTCCCTGGAATTGTCCATGGCCAGCTCAGATGGAGCTTGGAGCAATCTGGGATTGTGGAAGGTGTCCCTGCCCATGGTGGGGACTGGAATTCCATGATCTCCATGGTCCCTTCCCACCCAAACCATCCCATGATTTTATCCAACACAGTGGCACCCGAGGCCTTGATGATTCTTGTTGGTGCTCCAGCTTTTCCCTGGATAAGGAGAGAAACAACCACAACTTTTTATCCCTCTTCCATCACATCCCTGAGCATCCCAGAGGTGAGGGGGGCAGCCTGACCTGGAACTTTCTCCCTGTTCCACCATCCCATTGGAAAAACTTCCATTTGGGACACACTCCCATATCTGAGCTGTTATTAAACATCCCATTTAATCAAGTATTTCGGAATTAATCACAAAGAGCTGGAGGTGGATCTCTCATGGAACAGCCCAAGTAATCCCAAGAAAATTCCTACCAATCCGCCACTTTCCATTGGCTCTCTGATCCCTAAATAAAAGCAATTCCCACCGAGGGAAGTGGGCAGAGCATTGGAAAACACCAATCCCATTTCAAGACTCAGCAACTTCCGGGAGAGCTTCCCTACCGATGAGACCAAACAGATCCATTTGGGCCCAAGAAGGGAATTGGAAAGCCAGGAGACAGGCCAGCACCTGGGAAAAGCAGGAGCAATGTCTTTGTACAGCTCACAGAGCTCTGTCCCAGATCCCAAAATCCCGTGGAACAGGACAAACAGGACACCAGCCAGGCTGTGTCACCACAGGCCCCACATGCGTGGAGGGACTGATCCAGCTTTTCCAGCCACGCTGCCATGAAGGAATTTGGGAGCATTCCTCCCCTCTGTCTTTCCCTCCAGAAATGGATCCACCTCCCTGCTCCATTCCTGCCCCGCTCTGCTCCCAGTGTATCCCAGTAACCCCGTTTACTTCCCTCACACCTGCCCAAGGGGAAATGGAAAAGACTGGAAATTCCACCACTTTGTGGTGATTAATATCCACAATATTTTTGCTGGGATTAATAGCCACACTTTGCCCCAAAAGAAACCAAAACAACCTTCCCAAAACCTCTTGGATAATGTGGGAGCCAGGAATTGAATCCACGAGACTTCACTTATTCCCAGCTCCCTGTGGAACCAGAAGACACCCCATCCATAATTATACACTTACAGGGAACATGGGAGTTGTCCTAATCCCTGTGAGCACCCAAGACTTCCCAATTTGGGAATATCCCTGCCCCATCCACCACCTGGAGGGAAAAAAAACCCATAGGAGTTCCTGGAGCACACAGAGGAACAGCCCTGGAATAATTCCATAGCTTTCCAAACCTAGAGTTTTAAGAATATTCCAACACATAAAGCTGCAAATCCTCTGCCTGGGATTGAAGCTCTTCAAGAAAAATCTTGAAGTACAAAAGGATTCAAATCCAGAAAGTCAATTTTAATCAAAGGGAGCAAATCCAAAATTCACTGAGGGAATTTTTCGAGGCAAACCAGGCTCTTCCTGAATTTCTCTGCAAAGGAGAAGGTGCCACACAGAGAAGCATCTGCCAGGAAATTGGATCCACTTTTGGAGGGGGGAATGAACTCCCTGCTCTCCCAAGGTCACTTCCAGCCCTATTCCCTTTTTTTTTCTTCCATTCTCCAACCTTCTTCATTTGCCAATTTCCCAAAGCCTGGAGCAAAACCACATTCCTGCTTTATTTTCTCATTCTTATCCAGTTAAAATGAAGATTAAGATTTTTTTCAGTGTGTGAACATTCCCTTCAATCAAGGAACTGGGATTCCAAACAAGCTGATATCACTGCCTCAATTCCCAAAGTTAAAATGCCATGGCAATCCCAAATTGCTCCGTGTCTCCAGAGCTTTCTGTCTTTTTATGGAATCATGGAATGATTTGGGTTGGAAGAACTCAAAGATCATGGAATTCCACACCCCTGCCATAGGCAGGGACACCTTCCACTATCCCAGGCTGCTCCAAGCCCCATCCCAGCTGGCCATGGTCACTTCCAGGGATCCAGGGACAGCCACAGCTTCTCTAGGAATTCCATTCCAGGACTTCAGCACCCTCCCAGGGAAGAATTCCTTCCCAATATCCCATCTAACCCTGCCCATTGGATGACAGTGGGAAACCATTCCCTGTGTCCTGGCACTCCATCCCTCATCCAGGAAAATTCAGCAACATTTCAACAGAGCTGTTTGAACACCAAATAATCCCAAATAACTGGAGACAAATCCCAGCTACATCTGACCCAAACCCCTCTCCCTGCTCCAGCAATTCCCTGGGAATTTCATGGGGCCACGGGGAAAATGTGCCTCACATCCACCTGAAATAACTGAATCCCAGGCAGGGGAAGGTTTTTATCCATAAAAATACCCCTAGGGAACAGAAGAGCCACCAACATCTCAACAACATTCCAGACACTGAGCTCTGAGTTCTGTTCCAAGGTAGCAGGACACGGATGCAAATTCCCTGTTCCCAAACACAATGGATCCAGTATTCCACCATTACTGGCGTTTTATGCAAATTAGATCCAAAACTGGACACCACACTGGGATACAGCTGAGAGATTTGTGTATTCCTGCCTCTGCCAACTTCTTTCTTCTTGGAAAACCTCCCTGAAAATCCAGGGAAACCCCAGGAAAAGCAGGAAACATTTGTTTTTTGGTGGAGACGCCAAAAGGTCCACACGGATATGGAGTCAAACTTCTCCTCAGTGTTTGCTCCAAGACCAACAACACCTCCAGGAGGACTCGACAACACATTCCCAAAGCCAAGAACCCTTGGAATGCCTGTTCCTACCTTCCTTGGCGGCCACCTGTGTCCTGGTCGCCGGCATCCGGCAGAGCCGGTGCTTGGAAATCTGCACCAGGCCCCGGGGCGAGGAGCGTTTCGCCGTCACCGAAGGTTTTCCCCGCGTGGAATTCCTCCTCCGGAGGTGGAAGCGGCTCTTCAGAGCTGTGGTGGGGGAGATGTTCTTCTTATCCGTGGGGGAACTGGGAAAAGGGAATGTCACACGGTTAGGAGGGAGCAGGGAAGTGGCCAAAATGCTCCTGGTATCCTACAGAGCTCCAAAAGGAGTCAAATCCCACCAGGATTCTCCTCTGGCTGAGGGGGGGAGGAGAAGCTCTGAAGAGAAAATTCCAAGGGAACGGGCAAATGTGAGGAATTCCTGGCAAGGAACAGATGGGGAATGAGGTGTTTGACAGCCAAACTTGCTCACTGCCTTCTGCTCAACAGATGTGAGGGATTGAATCATGGGATCATGGAATGGTTTAGGTTGGAAAGGATCTCTGAGATCTCCAAGCATTTCCCAGCAGTGCCAAGGCCACCACTGACCACATCCCCAAGTTCCACATCCACAGGGATCTTAAATCCCTCCAGGGATGGGGATTCCCAGTGCCTGACCACCACTTACACAAAGGAATGTTCCCAATATCCAAACTAAACCTCCCCTGGAGCAGTTTGAGGCTGTTTGCTCACACCCTGTCCCTGGGAGAACCTGATCTTTCCTGACTTCACCCACCTGCCAGGGAATTTAGGGAGCCAGGAAGTCCCCCCTCAGCCTCCTTTTCTCCAGGCTGAGCTCTCCCAGCTCCTTCAGCTGCTCCTGGTGCTCCAGACCCTTCCCCAGCTCCATTCCCGACTCTGGACATGTTCCAGCTCCTCAATATCCTCCCTCCAGGATTTGAGGAGCCTCAGCAGTGCCCAGCACAGGGACGATCCCTTCCCTGATTCTGCTGGAATTTACCAAGGTGTGGGAGGTCTCCCTGAACTGCCAAAAAAAATCCCAAACATTCCCAACTTCTCCAGGCTGCTGCAGAGTGATTTTCCCAGCACGATCCACCCACTGATGGTTTTCCAGGTAAAGCAGGAGGGCAAGGCAAGGATGGGAAGCACTGAAGGGAGGTGGGAAACAGAGGCAGGAATCAACACAACAGTTACGAGAATTTGGAATTAAATCAAGGAAAATGCAGCTTCCTTTTCTGAGTGAGAAAATGTCGGCGACCACAGGGATTCACAGGATCCAGCTCTGGATCACCCAGCATCAGGAGGACATGGAACTGCTGGAGTAAATCCAAAGGAGGCCATGGAGATGCTCCAAGGGATGGAGCCCCTCTGCTCTGGAGCCAGGCTGGGAGAGCTGGGAATGTCCAGCCTGGAGAAGAGAAGGATCCAGGGAGAGCTCAGACCCTGAAGGGGCTCCAGGAGAGCTGGAGAGGGATTTGGGACAAGGGATGGAGGGACAGGACACAGGGAATGGCTTCCCACTGCCAGAGGGCACGGAAAGATGGGATATTGGGAAGGAATTCTTCCCTGGGAAGGTGGTGAAGCCCTGGAATGGAATTCCCAGAGTAGCTGTGGCTGCCCCATCCCTGGAAGTGTCCAAGGCCAGGTTGGACAGGGCTTGGAGCAGCCTGGGATAGTGGAAGGTGTCCCAGTTCATAGCAAGGGTGTGGAATTCCACGATTTTTAAGGTCTTCCAACCCAAACCATCCCACGGTTCCACAAAACCTCCGGCACACAAAAACCCCCACCGGAATTTCCCCCCACAGCCACAACCTGACGTGAAACCCGGGGACACAAAATCCAAACCAACAACTTACCCCACATTCCCTTTCCTCTTGATGATTTTTGTCTGACTCTTCACTTTGTAACTGGACAGGGCAGCCTCTCCAAAGGATTTCATCCCACCGGGAACAACGGGTGCCACGCAGGGAGCCGGTGGGACAGAGACAGTTCGAGAGACGTTCAGGGCTGGAGTCTTCTTCTGGTCCTCAGATCTCCACTGGAATGCTGACTTGGAAGTGGAAGGCAAAGTCTGCAAGCTGGAGGCTTTCCACTTGTATTTACTGGGAGAAACCCCCAGCTTGGATTGCAATCCCAATTTCTTTATCTTCGTTCCCAAATCCGCCTTGGGGGAGATTTTAGCACCTTTGTCCGCTCCCCCAGCGCCCTTCTTGGAATTTTCGGCTCGAGGGCTTGCCCACCTCTTCACAATCCGTGAGCTTTTCCCAGGGTTTGCCACCCAGGTGTAGTTGTTTTTCCTGAATTTCTGAGATTTGCTGGAGACGGGTGCCGAGGCAGCTTTTTGGAGAGTGGGAGCTTTGGGAATTACGGGAAATCTGCTCTTCACCAGAGTCACCCCGGCCTGAGCAGGTCGAGAGAGCATCTCGGCATTCCCAAAGAGTTTGGGATGTAGGGAAGCATCCCGGACTTCCTCACCGCTTGGCTGCCGTGGAGAGAGTGGTTCTGCCTTGATCCGTACCGAGTGCTGGGCTGGCTCCCGACCTGGAAATTCCAAAGGATTTTGTGGCTCCGACTTCAGCGCCACGGCGCTTTCACTGGTGCTTCCAGAGGCGGAAAAGGAGCTCCCGGTTCCGATGCCGGGCAGGCAAACAGTCCTGGACGTGGAACTGAAGGAAATGGATAGGGAAGGTCTTCTCTCCTCTTCCTGGAGAAGAGATTTCTGGATATTCCCATCCGCCGAAGGAGCCACTGCCACTTCCCGCCTGGAAAACTCGCCGTAAGGACCCACGTTTTCCTGGCCAGCCCTCTGTGGCACCTGGATATCCACAACGATGTTCCCATCCGTGGTGAAATCCACGTGCCTCTCCGGGGACGATCCCGGTGCCTCAGGAGTCTGGCTGTCCCCAAGGCTCCCAAAACCTTGGGAAGTGCTGGAAGCACTTCCAACGTCGTAGCCCGATCCCGGCAGCCGGTTGTCCAGGGAGTATTTTTTCCTCCAGGAGTGAGTCTGGCTCGGGTGGAAATTCCTGGGAGGCTGCTGGGGGAACCTGGTGGAAAAGGCTCCTCTCCTGGTGTAGCCGGGCTGGCGGGGGTTGTTCCACCTGGGAGGAGCCGACGGCGCCGGACGTGGGACATTCCCGTGCATGTTCCTGTGGCTGTTGATGAGACCTGAGGGAGAGAAGACGGAACATTAATTCCCTGATCCCGTGGGAATCCCACGGCAACACAGAGCTGCTCTTCCCGGCGCTGGAATTCCATCGTCGCTCGGGTTCGGGATGAGCCAGGGTGGAAGGAGAAGTCATGGAATCACAGCGTCCAGGAATGGTTTGGGTTGGAAAGGACCTTCAAGAACACCCGGTTCCACTTCCCTGCCAAAACCCTGGATTCCACAGGTTGCTCCGAGCCCCATCCAGTTCGGGCCTTGAACGCTCACAGGGATCCAGGAGCAGCCACAGCTTCTCTGGGAATTCCATCCCAGCCCCTCAGCACCCTCACAGGGAAGAATTCCTTCCTAATATCCCAACTACCCCCGCAATCGGCCTTGGGAAATCATTCCCTGTGTCCTGGCAGATCCTGAACTCCACCCTCCTGTCAGGGAATTATAGGGAGCCAGAAGATTCCCCCTGAGCCTCCTTTCCTCCAGGATGAGTCCCCCATCTCCCTCAGCTGCTCCTGGTGCTCCAGACGCTTCCCAAGTTCCCTTTCCAAGCTCCCTTCCTTAAAGCAGCAACATGGACACTCCAAGGTTTTGCCGTTGTGTCCCTCTGGAAGCCACCATCCCTGTTAATTCGGGAATTTCTGCCCCTGTCCAGCCTCAGCGCTTCGAAAAACCTGAAACCTGCATTCCTGTGTTCCCGAAAACCTTTCCCATGAGTGATTCCCTAAGGAATTTGGGGCCTGGTGTTTCAGGCAGAGTTTTTTTTCCTTCACCGGGGTCACCAGGAGAGCTGAGCCAGCACATTCCTCATGGAATAGCAAGGATTGTTTTCCTCCCTCTCATCATTCCCGCACGTAGGAGCTCCTGGAGAGGCAAATCTCAAGCTCTGAGTGGAAGTTGTGGCCTCGCCAACCAGGAAAATTTACTTTGAAGGACAAAAATAGGGGGGTTTGGTGCTAAAAGAAGCTCTGGTGCTTTCCAGAGCTTGGGAAGGGCACATGGATACACATCCCACCTCTGTGCTCCCAGCCCGGGGCTGTGGGACAGGGAAAAGCCCCTTCCCAAAGCCAGGAGAGTTCCAGATCCTGCCAAGAGTGGGAATTCCCTGGTGTGGGGATCCCAAAATCCCCCAGCACTCCATGGGCTCCGTTCCCTCCCTGCCTTGGCCCACTTGGCTTTCCTGGGTTTTTTTCCCTTTCCAGCTTTTCCCAGCACTCCCTGGATCACTTCCCTCTTCTCCCAAAACTCCTGAGTCCTCTCTTCTCCCCTTTTCCTCCCTTCTCCCAGCACTCTGGGATCTTCTCCATTCCCATCCCACTCACACTGCTCCCAATCCCATCCCAAAATCCAATGTCACACCCCCACCAAAGACTCCCCAGATCCCATCACAACCTTCCCAAAATTCCCTTAAAACACCGCACC